TAATTTTTATTTTTATAGTGATTATCAAAAATCATTTTCGGTAATCATTATAAAAATAAATTTACTATTGTCAATTCAATCTTATTTATGTTGGTGGATACCCAAAAAAAAAATAAATGGCTAGTTTAACACTAAAGATCTCAGGGTGTCATTTCTTTTATATGCATGTGACCAAAAAAAAAAGGAAAATGTCTCTTTTTTTCCATTTTTCCATTTTTCCGTTCCGTCACAAATAATTAAAATAGAATGTGCAAAAATAGAAATTTTCATTTTCAAATTTCTCTTGATTATTCATTATCGCTTTTTTTTTTATTTTTTTTTACTTTAATTAATATCTAATTATTAATTAATTATTACTTTTAATTCTAATTAATTATTTTAATTAACCATTACTTTAATAATTACTCTTCCTTCCTGAATACTCTTTACTTACTTTTAATATTTTAATCTTTAATTAAAATATTACTTTTGATTAATTATTAATTATTTATTTGATATGACCATCGATCTACCGTCAGATTGTCTCACTCACATTTTTCATATTTTGAATTCGATGTCAAATCATTACATTCTTTTCTATTCGTATCACGAAATTGGGGTCTAAATGTAACTCAGATATTATGGAAAAGAACATTTTATATTACATTTCTTTTTCATCTAGAAAAGGAAGTAAACTAGTGTCAGCTTATTGATTATGTTTAGACTGCGAAAATAATAATAATTATAATAATAATAATAATTATAATAATAATAATAATAATAATAATAATAATACATGCAACAGAGAAAGCCAATCAATCACCCATTATTTGATTATGATTCATTTCTTAGGGATTTGATTTTTATCAAGTTTATTATGCCATAGGGAATTGGTATTCTTATCAATCATTGGATAAACAAAGATCAATAAATTTTGATAAAAAAAATATTCTGAGGATGATGATGATGATGATGAATGTCAAAACTTTATTTAACTAGAGAACTCATTAATCATTTTATTAGAAGATCGATCACAATTTATTATTTGGCATTAACTGCAAATGATATAGAATTTATAATTCCCTCAGGATTTTATTGCTTTCCCTTAGAATGTTGGCATCATAATAATGTATTAAAATATATACAAACATTTATATTTAATGGAAATAATACTTTTAATAATAAATGTTGTGAACTTTATGAAGCTCTTGCTCTATGTTGCAAAAGTATTAAATTTTTATCTGTTCAAGGAGGAATTGGAAATGATTCAAATGGTGATGATGATGTTGGTGAATCATTAGCAAATTTAATTCAAAATCAACGTCACCTTGTTAAATTTTCTCTCTAGTATGTTCAACAAAGTAATCAATTATCTCAAATTATTAAAGCCATAACATTACGTACGTAAAGGAAAACTCAAATATTTGGAATTTAGATTTTGCAATTTTTCAAATTGTAGTACGCTGTACAAAGTTGTAAGGGTCAAGGACTCCATATTAGGGTTAAGGTTAATCATGTGTAAAACACTTGTACACATTTGTACTTCATTTTTATATGACCGTACAGTGGAGTATCAAATAACAATAAACTATGCTTGAACACCACACCTAACAAAGTAATGACCTTAATTGAGATTTATGTAATTATGTAAATATGTAAATAATACATAATGAGATTAATATCAACAAAGAAAAATTAAATTAAATTAAATTAAAAAAGCGTAGTCGGTGGATGTGGTACGTTTTTCTCTCCGCTATCGAAGCGAGAATAAATTCGAACAATCAATTAAATAAATGAATGTTTAATTCACTAGTTTTTTTATTATTTTATTTCTCATTCACATATTCAGTTG